TCACATTCCCTCTCACATTATAGAACTTACTACTATCCAATATCATCAAACAGCATTTTTCATGGAATGAATAAAGAAAGGTGCAGTAGTGTGCTGCCTTTTAAGCAGTGTGTTGTGTAATTGCAACAATGTGTAATTAAAATGCATGGTGTGGATCAAATCAGGGTAGTTTTTAATAACGTATGAACACACATATGCAATGCATGCACATACAGAACAAAAATGTTCTTTGTTTCCCCCGTTTAATACCCAGGAAGTAGTAAATGTGTCTTTGAAGATTAAAATCTGGATTTGAAGTCAGTTTATTACTATTACTAGTGCTTTCCTTTAAAATAAGCAAAAACAATGAAATGAAAAGAAAGAGCTTGTTACAAACACAATTAGATTTTAGGGTTTTGTTATGCTAAGTTGTCTTGAATACTATATGAAATAGAATTCACAAGCACAATCTCACACCAATTTATTCAATACACAAACTATTATTTAGAAATTATTTTCAGAACTTTTCAACTTTCCTTGTGGAATCTTCACAGCTCAGCTTTTAAAAATCTAAGTTATGTAGCCTCCCTGCCTGAGTTTCATTTTTGCATAGAACGTCAGCTTATGCCAACATGTCAGTGACATCATCAAGAAAAGGACAGAGAGCAGAAGACTGTGGGCATTGTAGTAGCAGCTGTCTTTCTAAAGAACTTTGCTATTTCTATGGAGCGACCTGTACTTTCTTTTCTTTTCTTTTTTTACAGATGGGTGTGCTTACTATCATTTTGAAGTGAAATGCTGTGAAAGCCAACTAGGGCAGTTTAAATCTAACAAAAAAAATCCCAAACCTTTAAACGGTGTCCAAGATGAACCCACTTTAAATTTATTGTATAAATTCAATTTAGTAAACTTGTCAGAGATACTGCCTTTAACAAATTCTTTCCAGCCAAACATGTTGCACCTATCATTATCCCATCACAAAAAGCATGATTAGCTCACCATGCTTTCAAGCATTATGTCTCTTAACTATTCAAAATTTAAAATGATTGAGTAATGATTACAGTAAGTTCTAAAATATATTAATAGCAGAAAATTCAAAGCAGAAAAAGATAACCACTCATGTATCTAATCTCTGAAATACAGTATACAGAGGGGAACATAATTTAATAGGATTTTTTAAGAATTACAAAAATATTTATGATTCTGAAATTCTGTGATTTAAGATCTGTGCCTGAAACATTCTGACTTGTTATATAGAGCACTACCTTTGAAAGCAAAGAGTACATAAGGAGCTAGTAAACCCAACAAAGAGTTTTGAGGCACCTTAAACACTAACAAATTATTCTAACACAAGTAACATAATCCATTTCATCAGATGTATGTAGTACCTTCCTTTGGCAGGTTATATTTGCAGGGACTCAGTGGAAGAAAAATGGTAAAAGGTCGCATTATGGTAACAAAAAGTCTGTGATAATTCAATTAGAGCAGGAATAACAAGAACAATGACTTCACAAATGTAGCAATCTCTGATAACACAGCCATCTTAGTATTACTAAGTAAATTAACATCAGAGGGACAAAAATCCCTTGTCTCTATTCAGGCCCAAATGAACAGAACCTAACTTCCTTATAAATTATAATTCAGATGATTTCTACTTGTCTCTTTTGAAAAAAAATAGAGCCATGTAGCTAATACACAAGCATCTTACCTACAATCACCCACCCAACAAGGTCAATAATCTGTTGAAGGCTCCTCAACTGGGCAAAGGGAAATCTATCCTTGCCTTTGACTTCAATCCATGTATGTTAACTCAGAAGGCCCTCGAATTTCAGTGAAATTTACTTCCTGATAAAAGTTCATAGCATTGCAGTATAACAGTGGTACTAAGAAGCCCTGTTGAATTCAATGTGACTCCCATGTAAGTAGAGTTAGGACTGCAGCCTTGATCTACAAAGACACAGGTGGTAAGGGATAAGCTGAATTCAGTATAGTGATATTCACTATAATCAATACAACTGTATTTAAAACGAGTTGAACAAGAATATCGCCACCTGATTGTTTCTCTCTATTGAGTGATATTTTCTCACTTTTTCTATTATGAATTCTGCAACTGTGTTAAAAAAACATTGCATAAGATACAAGAAGTGATTATTCTCTTCTACTAATTTATCAATAGTCTCTTATGCTATATGGGATTTTACCACTGACCAAATCTGAGGTGTTACATCTGATGTCCAACATAAATATTCAGTAAGAGGACCATGAATAGTTTTATCCTACTGAAATTATAAATGAGTGTCTAAAACCATACTTATTTAACCTATATATCCTTCCTTTTATTTGAAAATCTAAATGCAGCTAAACCAAAATTATAAGATCTATATTATGTAATTATATTGCAATGTTAGGCCTACTAAGAGTAGAACAAATGAAATTAAAGAATGCAACTTAATCATGCCCACTAACTTCAATGGGCTTACAGTGGTACCTCGGGATGCGAACAGGATCCGTTCCGGAGCCCCGTTCGCATCCTGAACAGAACATAAGATGCGACAGCGCATCTGCGCATGCTGAGTTTCACCGCTTCCGCGCATGATGTCATTTTGACCGTCTGTGCATGCGCGAGTGGCGAAACCCGGAAGTAACGCGCTCCGTTACTTCCGGGTCGCAGCAGAGTGCAACCCGAAAATACTTATCCTGAAGTGTATTTATCCTGAGGTATGACTAAAATATTGAGTAGAACTGGATACAACCCATAATCCTGCAAAAGAACTGTAATTTGAGTGTTAAAATTTGAGAAATGGCTGTTAACAAATTGGTTTGTCTATGGTGTAGATATGTCTGAAGGGTCTTTTTTTATTATTATTAAATTTTTAAACTGTCCTTCATCCAAAGATCACAGGACAGTTCACAACCCAGCAATTCTGTATGAAAAAGGTCATGTCCAAAAGGAACATCTCTGAAGTGGACAGCTGAGAAACCAGTGTTTCCCAAGACTCTAGCTATCAAAACATTTCTCATGGAAAGGACCTGTTATGTGATTAACAGGCAAAGAAGCCAGGTACATTTCCTTTTATTTTTCTTGCCACCTTGCACACACATTTCATGCATATTTCATACATCAGTATCAGCTCCGAATGAGCACCAGGTTGATTACAGAACATATCAAGTATGGTGCAGAAGAAAACACAGATGACACGGGAAGAAAAGTCAAAGTTGCCAAGACAACCAATAACCCTGGATACCTTTGCAACAGTACTGTTGTGGGCAGGAGCCACGACTACAAGAGCTTCTGCTCCTAAGAAAAGAAAAGAAAACGCCATCACTGTGCAAGAGATGAAATCTCTGGCGTCGCCAGACTGAACCTCGCCAGTTAAAAAGCTGGGGCAGGATTCTCGGGGAAGGCGGAGAAGACATGTGGGGGGAGAAATAAGAGCATGCTGCCTGCGTCGGATACACACTCGCAGCCTCCCCTTACACAAGGGTAGCAGCTCAGGGAGCAGGTGGAGAAGGGATTAGACGCACACCCTCCGCGCTACACGGCGGAAGGGGGAGGGAGGAGGACAAGGCCATTCTCCATGTACAAAGCGGGAGGGGGAGAAGCAGAAATGCGCGCCTCTCTCCCAGCCCCACATTCAACAACAAGAAGAGTCCCTCGCAGAAAGGAAGGGGGAGAGGCCCGCCGCCGCCCCACCACCGCCACCCTCCCATTCATAGCCACACACTCGGCGGCGTCAGGCTGCGACGCTGGGTCCCCGGGGACTGAGGCGCGTAGCAACCCCAACACCCAGAAGCCCGCGACTAGGCCTCCGCCCTGAGAGGCCGGCACCAGCCGAGCGAGTCCCGCACGAGCACCAAGGCGCCGCTGGGGCCGCCGCCGCCGCCAGGGTCCCCTCCCCCCACCCAGCCAGGCGCACGGCAGCGGCAATGCGGCTCCCTAGGCTGCGCTCTCACCCAGCGGCCGGCGGCGGGCGGGCGGGCAGGCAGGGCCTAGTTGGGTCCCCCGGGAAGGGGGGACTTCGAGGGCCGCGCGCGCACACAAAAGTTGGGAGAAGTTAAAAGCCCGTCGCTAGCGGCCGCGGAGGAGGGAGAGGAGGCGACACCGCCGTCCCGTCACTCCACCCACCCACCCACCCCAAATCTCGATTCCTTCCGAGGCGATTGTCAGGCAGGCGCTCCGCGCAACTCACTCTCTTCCCTCGGTCCGAGCAATCGTTTTTCTCCACAGAAAAAAACGATTGGTGTTTTGCCACACGGTTCTCCCCCCGCTCCGAAGCAGCAGCCACACGGCATTCTGGAGAAAAGGAGAGAGAGACAGTCCCTCTCTCCCCCCCCCGCCACCCCCATTGTCAGCCACGCAGCTGCCACCCCTTCAGTCCTTTCTATCGAGGAACGACCCTCCTCCATGCCGAGGAGAGAGGAGGGGGAAGCCTTCTCCATTAACACCCCCTTCCACTTCGCGGCGAGAACCCCGCTTTCCCCTTCAGACAGCTCTGCTCTTCTCCCACCCATTTAACCAAGGCGCCCCCTTTCCTTCACAAGAAGTCGGGGGGGGTGGGTGAAAACCCCCAACTTCAAATGTATTATTACCCCCCTTTTTTACTTTCATCTCCATGCAGATTTCGGGGTGCGACACAAAACAGGAGGTGCAGCCACACACCCGCCGCCGCCACCACTCATAAAAGAACACCAGACACCCAGGCTGACACCTCTCTCGCTCTTCGTCTCGGGAGAGAATAAAACCTCCACAACTTGCCTTTTTTTGCAGGGAGGGGGGATGATGGGGGGGCAAGGAAAGTCTCGCGGACACCCCCTTTTTCCCCTCCCTCGCCCCCGAAGTTCTCAAGGCAGCGGCTCCAGACACTAAGCAGCCATCCCCAGCAGCGCGCCACACAACCAGGGTTATTATACAACACACACACACACAACCGGGGAGGGACCCCCTCGGCCAGCCCCTTCCCCAGCCTATCCCGCCGCGAAAAGGACCCCGCGGCGAGGGGAGCGAGGGTGGCTTCCCTTACCGAGGTCAGCAATGTCTCCGGCTGCCGTCGCCCAGGCTGCTGCCAGCGCTGACCTTCGCTTTGTAAGAGGAAGCTGGAGCTGCTGAGTCCTCCGCGGCCGCCATGTTCCCGTTTTAATCACTGGCTGCTTGTTTATTTCAATGGGGACCCTCCCACAGCTCACTCTCCTCCTCCTCTCCGCAAAGCTACCCAGAGAGAGGAGGGACTGGGAGGGCCGAGGAGACGGAGAGGGAGAGGGAGAGCAGGGCCGCCGCCGCCGCCGCCACTCCCTTGCCTTCACCAGGCGCAAAAGTGGCCTCGGAGGCGAGTCCTTTCGCTCGGCAGGGAGGCAGGGCGCGCACACACCAAGGCACGCACCCGCACCACTGCTTACTACCGGTGTGCGGGAGCGGAGAGGAAACTTCCTTCGCCGCCTGCGAGGCTGCGTTCTCGCCCTGGAGCCGAAGACAAATGAGCTCGGCCGAGCGTCAGCTTGCAAGGGGGTGGGGTGGCGGCTGGGGGAAGCAGCCTTGCTAACCCAGCGCAGGATTTGGAAATGTTGCCATTGTGCCATTAACAGAGAGGGAGAAGGAATCGCTCGAATCTGATTTCTTTTGTTGTCCAAAGGAAAGGAAGCATCCGTGCGCCACCAACGCTAGCGATTATTAATATTAGTAGTAGTAGTAGTAGTGTAGTAGTATTAATGTAGGTCTGACGATGGAATGCTTTGGCAGCTATAGAACAAGGGGGAACATCGTACAAATCTGTAAAAACTCAGAGTAATATGCCCAGTTATGCAAACCTGAAAAGTCATATATTAAACGTCTGAGAATAAATCTCTGTTCATTTTCGAGTACAGTACAGACAACAATGATGGCTTTGAACATCGGCCTTTGCTTTTTAGACTGGTCTCTTACACACTTCTTTTAAGTTCTGGGTGTTCCTACAATGTTTACAAGGCTCATGTAGTGACATGCAAAGTCTGCAGGTCCTTGTCTGCTCAAATCCCCTATATGATCTCTTGTAATTTTAAGTTCTGCTTGACACTTTAGGCCCAAGATTTTCTGTTTACCCCCTTGATATGGTGGTGTGCCCTCAATCTGATTGGTTGTAAAGGAATGTGTACATTGGTAAACAATATGTCATGTGCTGCAGCTGAAAGGCAATATAAACAGCTGAACTTAGTAAAACACACACACACACATAACTATCAGGAGGTGTAGGGAGCCTAGGATTGTGGAGGCCATTCTTTGCTCTTGGTATTATTTTTTTGTATCTATAAAAGCAGTCAAATTGTGGTAGGTAATCAAGTTGCTCAGCTTTTGTAATGGGCCATCATCTGTTTAGAAGTATTGTGCATGATCATTTAAACCTGTGTATTACTTTACAGTTTGTTTGTTTTTGAAGACAACACTTTTTGCATTGCTCTGCAGTTCATGTAAACTAAATCGGTTACGTGAGTTTATTAACACTCAGTACAGAAACAATGTAAGTGCAGCAATACAGCTGTAAAAAGTGAACAGAAGGGATTTGTTTGCTTAAATACATTTATATACCACTCTGCAACTCTGAAATCAATATAACCAAATGAAACCACAATGGAAAACTGACAATGAAATAATTTAAAACTCAGAACTTTAACAGTGTGGAAGAACAAGAAAGCTTTTGCTTATTACCCCAAAGCAGATGCCAGGTGCGCCTCTCTGAAAAGAGCTCCACAGGCAGGAAGTCAATGATGAAAACATCACCTCCCCATTTGGCACATAACTTCAGCTGGCAGAGGCATCGGGAGAAGACCATTGATAACGTCAGCTAACTGGAATTAATTCATCCACTTTTGTTATAGCGTGTAATAAGTTAACACAGAGAATACTGAACAATAAACAATAGCAACTTATTAAAACATAAAAGCAGTATTGTAGCACCTTAAAGACTAATAAATACGTTACAGCTTCCACACCATATATTTAAAGTGTATCACTTCCTGCAAAGAAGCCAGGGAATTGTAGTTTACCCCTCATGTAACTGCAACTCCCAGCAGCCTTAACAAACTACAGTTTCCAGGATAATTTAGGGGAAAGCAATGTGCTTCAAAAGTATTGTGTGATTTCATCAGATGCATGAAGTGCTCTCCTAATTTACAGGTATCTATATACATGTGGGTGGGTATGTTTGTAAACAGTGAGGTCAGAGGGAAATGAAATGTCGAAAGTACAGCGATTGTGATAGTTACATAATTAAAAGCAGTAATTCACAAAACTGTTGTAGCTGATAACACAAACATCATTGCATTGGTAAGAAAATTAGTAAATGCAGCGTAATAAAAAGCAGTTGTCCTGATTCAGTCCAGAAGTCATAGCACTGACTCTCTTGATGAACTATAATACCATAAAACTTCAAAGGGGGGCTGCAACATGAAACTACTAAATTAGAATTAATCAAGAGGTTTATGTGCTATTACTTGTAGATAGAACTGGGGCAATGGATTTCTGTCACATCACATATGTCATTGGTTTACCATTTAACATGTCATGCATCTGATGAAGTAGACTGCAGTCTATGAAAGTTAATGCAATTAGAAAGCTGATAATCTTTTAGATGCTGCAATACTCTCTGTTAATTTTGCTGCAACAGGCTAACTCAGCTACCCCCCCCCCAGGAAGTTATTGGAATGTGTTTTCTTCTATAAACAAACTTCCCAGAGAAAGTTAACATTCACAGGGTGTCACTATATTAAATTTCTCATGTATGGAGGGGCTGAATAAATTCTGTAACTGCCATTGGCCCAGTACACACATAACACTCAACCATGTTTATTGAACCATGGTTTGAGGAAGTGGATCTGATCAGTGGGCTGGATCCTGGGTCCCCATACCCTCAGGAGGCCATTTTTAGTGTGGGGTCTGCTCACCTCTCAATCACCTTACATGATTGTGAGGCCAGAGGACCCATTTTTCATTTCTAGCCCAGCTTGAAAAATCCAAGATGCTTGAAATTACTGTAGCAGAGCCATTCCCAGTTTGCTTGCTCTCACCACCAAATCGCAAACCTCCCTTGTCGATGTACAATTGGGGTCACAGTTCAAGGTTCCTAAAAGTACATTGGCAGCTGTGTCTCCACTTGCTAGGGGCTCCTCACTAGGGAACTCACTAGTCCTCCTCGCAAGTAAAAGGTAAGGCTCAGGGCTTTTAACTTCTGGGATCCCCAGATATCTGGCATGCAATTTTTAAAAAATGTATTCAATATGCAAGCAAGTGAATAGGTTTAAAAGGGCCACCAGTATGGACTGGAAGTCATTGGCCTGGTTTGCAAGACCATACAAACATGCCCAAGCATTGCTTCCTGGGGTTGCACAGTGGCGGCTTCCGGCCAAATTGCATGGAATTCACATGAGATCTTGCCAGAAGCCACTGTCGCATGACTGCCAGCAGTGGTGGCAGGAGCGGGGCACCTTTGCACAGGATTCGACCTCCCCAAGTTCTACCTCATGGGCAGGCCAGCCCTGACAGAAGTGAAGGTTTGTTCTTGGATACAGTGCATGCTTTCTGAGTTGAGATTTTAGCCATGCACACTGGTTCAGAAAACACACTAAGCCAGTAGGTCCCAAACATTTCCCCTGCTTACTGTGGACCCGTCAGCCAGCATTTAATGACCACTGACATGCTCAGTTCTTCTTTGGCTGTTCAGTGGGGCGCCCCCTGCTTGTGCCTCCCTCTTCCTAAATATCTTCTGTACTTCTGCAAAAAAAAGGGGGGGGGTTCATCAAGGCTGCCAATACTTCTGTGTGAATTTGGCCATTTTGGCTTCATAAGCATTATCACCTGAAGACCAGGGAAAAAAACATCATGCACATTCTCCTATTCAAGAACCCTGGGAACCGTTTTTTAGCCTTCTCAGAGCTACCATTCCCCAGTGGCGTAGCGTGGGGGGTGCAGGGGGGGCCGGCCGCACCGGGCGCAACATCTGGGGTTAGGGCAAATCCACAGGTTAGGGGGCGCAAATCCACGGGTTAGGGGGCGCAAATTACTTGCCTTGCCCCGGGTGCTGACAACCCACGCTACACCACTGCCATTCCCAGCACCCTTAACAAACTACCGTTTCTAGGATGGTAATGAGGATGATTAATTTTGGAGTAGGGAGTGTGCTTTAAAATATTTAAAATGTATAGTGTGTAGACAAGATGTTACACTACTTATAAAATGGGATTCACATAGCTACTTGGATGCACTCAAGGGCTTGCTTAATTCAGGTTGTTTTGAAATGCATGCACACACCCTCCCATTTTACAATCTCCTTTTGAAATTCCTCTCAGTTTCAAAGGCAGTTCACCATGCAGAGCTGAGGGGGTGGTTGCAGTGCTTTTCAAGAAACACAGGTTCAAAGTCTTTGGGTACAAACTGGCCAGTTCTTTGGATCCTAGCCATAGCATTTACCTGAGTTATTTTTAAAATACATTATTACAGGTACTGCAGGTATTTCTTGTACATCATCTTGAGCATTTTTTGGAAAGGCAGCAAAAAAAGAAAACCATAACACTGTATTGTGCGTGTGTGGGAGGGGCGTGATAATCCATAGCAGGCTGAGCCTGCGGACTGTCTTGCCAGAGTGGTGCATGCTCTAGTTATCTCCCGCTTGGACTACTGCAATGCACTCTGCGTGGAGCTACCTTTGAAGGTGACCTGGAAACTGCAGTCAATCCAGAATGTGGCAGCTAGACTGGTGACTGGGAGTGGCCGCCGGGACCACATAACACCGGTCCTGAGAGATCTGCATTGGCTCCCAGTACGTTTCCGAGCACAATTCAAAGTGTTGGTGCTGACCTTTAAAGCCCTAAACGGCCTCGGTCTTGTATACCAGAAGGAGCGTCTCCACCCCCATCGTTCAGCCCAGACACTGAGATCCAGCGCCGAGGGCCTTCTGGTGGTTCCCTCATTGCGAGAAGTGAGGTTACAGTGAACCAGACAGAGGGCCTTCTTGGTAGTGGTGCCCGCCCTGTGGAACACCCACCCTTCAGATGTGAAGGAAATAAGCAGCTATCTTATATTTAAGAGACATCTGAAGGCAGCCCTGTTTAGGGAAGTTTTTAATATTTAATGCTGTATTGTTTTTAACACTTGATTGGAAGCCGCCCAGAGTGGCTGGGGAAACTCAGCCAGATGGGCGGGGTATAAATTATTATTATTATTATTATTATTATTATTATTATTATTATTATTATTATTGCAGAGTAACTACCATGTCCAAAGCCCTGCTGGTTAGCTATGGGCAGGGTAGGAGGTGGGAAGAAATTGATTACCCCCAAAATGATTGAAAGTAGGTTTTCAAAGTGCCGCCTGAAGTTCACTGTGGTTGTAAACACCCAATGCGTGTGAAAAAACTTTTTCTTCTTCAGAGGCAATTTTTGTTGTTGGAACAATGGGAAAAAATAGTGTTGAGACTTCTATTTTGACATTATGGTAAT